GGATTTCCTGCTGTTTTATCTCCCTGAGAATCACAGGGGCCACGCTGCCTGTCAGCTGTCCCCTCCCCGGGGGCTGCCGTCCTGTCCCTGGCACGCATTGGACTGGCGGGGGGAGACGGGGCGGGATGGGGACCATGGTGGGATGGGGACCACGGCGGGATGGGGTCCGCGGCAGGATGGAGCTTGGGGTGGGAACACAGGGAGATGCTGGGATGGATGGGTTGCCCTTTCCAGGGAGGTGCAGCGCCGAAGCTCCGGGGCAGGCAAGCAGGCAGGGACCGCCAGCTCAAGGAGCAGGGGAAGCCCTTGATGCAGTTAGAGGGGCTTAGCCAAGGCAGCGGTGCCGGAGCCCCCGGAGCCGCTGTCGGGGCAGGAGAGCTGCCCTGGTGCGCGGCAGGACGGAGCAGCGCCGCTGCAAGGAGCTGGCCCGAGCCCATCAATCATGCTTTCAGAGCTGCTTCGCAGGCTCCTGTCTGCCTTCATGACTGCCTGGAGGCCTTGCAACATCTGGCAGCTTGACTGAGCTTTAATCAGAGGCCTTTAATCACTGTCGCCATGCCACAAGCCCTCGACAGCGTTGGGCCACAGCTCCCTCTCTCCAGGGGCTGGATCCTTCCATGTCCCAGTGGGAAGGCAGCACCCTGACCCTCCAGACTGTAGAAGCCCCATGTCTTTGGGGCCGGAGCATCTCCTGACAAGGGGCATTCACAATGTCCCATCTTTCCTCTGCCTTCCCCCAAAACCAGCCACCCAACCTGTGGGGATTCTCTAGTGTCTGATAAGAAGAGCTTTGAACAGCTGGGGGAGGTCAGAGCCGGTGACCGAGGGTGCGGGTTCCCAGTTCAGTACTCCTTGTGGTGTACTGGTGTACTGGGCTACGGGGGGATCCTCCTTCCCTCGCACGCCGAGCCGGAGTGCTGAGTGTGGCTTCCCTCCTCGCAGGGCACAGCTTACTATGTCCAGGTGTCCGCCTACAACATGAAGGGCTGGGGTCCCCCGCAAGCCTCCGTGCCCCCTTTCGCCATCCCTTCCAGTAAGTACCACTGGGAACACCCATGGGAGCCGGCACAGGCTGCGGGATGGATAGGGGCAGGCGGCAGCTCCCTGTGCTATCGGGGGTCCCTCTCGCTGCTGGGATGGGGTCTAGTGGACCCAGGAGCAGAGGCAGCATTTGCTCGGGCCAAGCAGGGAGGCTGTGCCCGGGGGTCCGGGATGCTGCCTCCAGCTGATAGGAGCTTTGCCAAATATTAATTTTTCAGCCTGAAATTCTCCTGGCTGCCTGGTAAAGGCTGAGCCATTTTAGGCCACCTGGATCAGCTCATCCTAAGGAGGAAGCTAGGAGAGAGGATGTTTTGCTTTCTCAGTTAAAAGGAAAGCAATGCAGCCATCTCTTCCATAGGAAGGAAAAACCTCTGGGGTTTTTAGCAGAGGTTTGTAATTTAGCGCAGGGCAGCCTTTGGGAGGGGTCAGTCCTTACCGCCTCAATGACATCTGCCCCAAAGCGGCCAAGCTTGTGCAAAACTGAGTGCTGAGGGGAGACATGGTGGGGTGCCCCCAGCTCAGCCCCTGGAGATGCCCCTCAGGGCTCGGAGCCGTCCTGGTCCTGGGTGGCAGTGGACCTGGAGCCCTCCCTCTGCTACTGCATGCTCTCACCCATCCAGCCCAGCCCCAGGGACCTGCGTTCCCTGGCACCAAACTGGGATGGGGGTCATGAGCCCCACCGGAGAGGAGCTCTGGGCTGTCAGCACTCGCCTCCCCACGCTGGGGCAAGTGGGGGAAAAAGCCACCCAATTTCACACAAGGCACCCCAGGGTGCTGGGGGATACAGGCCAGGAAGACTGAACTGGAAGGAGCAGCCCCAAAGGGTGAAGTTCAGGGCTGAGCAGGCTCCAAGGTGGCCTCTGCCCCTCGCCACTGGTCCTGAGACAGGTCTCCGCTGCATGGTGGCCCCAGGGGCTCAGCACCATTGGATGTGTAAGGAGCGGCCCCACGCGCACCTGGGGAGGCTGAGCCCGTCCCAAGGAGCAGGCAGCAGGGCGGTGGGCGCGCGGCCCCTGCCACCACGCTCGCAGGCAGCGAGGGACCAGGCATGCTGCTGCATGTGAGCAGTGAATGCACCGTGTACGGGTCGAGATGCAGGTCTGACGGCACATGAACAGGGATGGGGCCAGAGGTGTGCAGGCACCATGCGTAGCTCTAGCTGCAGATAGACAATTGCTATAGCACCGGTATGGAAAAATGTAAAAATACGTTTGCATGTATATGAATGCGTAGAGCGAGCCTACCCCTGCACTGCATTGCCCTGGCTTTACCCTGTCCTGGCAGCAGCTGTTGCTCATGTTTGCACCCACTTTAAAGCCCCTTCGCCATCCCACACGGGTCATATTCCCTGTGACCGAGACCCATGTGGCATCGATACAGAGTACGGCTGAAGTGAATCAGACACGAGTGGGTTTTATTTATTTTTATCTCCATTAATATTTCTCCCTTCAGTAAAGATCCCTCCCTGGCCCAGCAGAATATAGTCAGGCACCTCCCTGGGTGTTTTTAAAGCTCCTAAAAATAGTGGCGAGCCCCAGCCAAAGTTAACAGAGCTGAACTTTCCATGGAAAACAGCAGCAGGCAGGACACAGGGGGTGTTTAAAGCAATTAATGTAAAGCTAACGTAGAAGCGCCAGCGGGTCCCCGGCCTCACTCCTGGTCCTGCTGCCGTCTCGCAACGGGTGGAGCTGGCAGGAGAGCTTATTTATGTGTTTGCCGAGGTGAGCCCAGCTCTCAGCACTCGCCCGGAGAAAGCTGCAGCTCCGGGGAAGACCTGGAGGAAGACACTGGAAAGAATTTTATTTTTTAAGGCCGGTGAAGAGC